GCCCAGGAAAAACCTTTCTGAAGGAAATGCAATTCAGGACACGCATCCCGCATCCCGCAAGGAGATTCGAGAAAGCTGAATGGCAGCCGCCACCCTCCTCGGCCCTCCTCCTTGCAAGCAAAAGCCTAGCTCTTCAAGGAAAGCAGGTCCCGACGGCGTAAGGTCACCAGCCTGGGCTGCCCATTCAGGACTCGAGGCCTCGCCCGTCCGATCTCGTCCTCGTTGCTTTGTCCCGCTGACATCCTATCCCCCTGCTTTAAATAGCCCGAGAACAATTCTTGCCCGGCCCTACCCGCCGTAGGGCAGCGGAGGGCCAAACTCCGTGCCAATTTTATCCAAGGGTTCTGGTTTCCATTAGTCAGTTTCAACACGGAGAGTTGGCAATTCCCTTTCCATGCTCCCCAAGAGTTGCTCTTGGGCCCCCCTGCATTGATGTCATATCGGGGTTCCTCTTCGGGGCCCCCTCAACCACCCCCCAATGCTCTAAAGCTTCACTGCATCTTGCTTTGGATTTCGAAGCTGCAAGGCTAAGCAGAGAGAGGGGACGGGAGTTCCCACGACGTACCCACGTCGTATCTTTGGGTAATGTCGGAACAAGGAGGCAAATATTCTCCACTAAAGTAAGCGGGGCTTAAACTCATCACAGTCCGGGCTGGAAAGATGGAGGCGCAGGAAGGCAGGCAGAAAATTCAGATTCGCTGCAGGGCAAACAGAGAGTTTTCTCCCAGGCAGATCTGTCAGCCCTGCAAGGTAGTCCAGGCTAGAAGCACAACTAATGAATACGATTTCTATCTTTATTGTCAGGTTCCACTAAGAGAATCTTGCAAGACTGAAAGTATTTCTCTCCTTCTATCTTTTTGCTCTGCGGAAAACTAGGCAGGGCCCCTTCTGAGATGCTTCCCACGTCCCTTTTCCTTCTGTGGGCTGAGCCACCTTTTACACACCAGTTGTCCAGTCTGCGGCTCTCCCTCCTGTCTCCCGAGGCCGTTCCCACGCACCGTTACACGAGCCAACATTTCCAACGGTCAGACGTGCCGCCGCGATGCCGAGAGACTCCAGATCGGCGCTCGCTGCAGAAATCTGCACGTCCGGTCTGCAAACAGAGCTGAGATCTCTCACCGGTGCACGCCAGCCCTTCGAGGTAGGCCTGCTTAAAAACCGACCCCACAGGGATCCCAGGAAAGCTACTTGATTGTGGTGGAGTTCAGGAGCAGGACTTTGAAAGCCTCTCCCAAACCGCCCCTTTTGAAGGATGGCAAAATCAAGGCTCTGAGTCTCTTTCTCACATTTCCCCCTTTTCGAATCTCTTCTCCTACCTCCATCTCCAGGCCAGAATTCAGTTCCTCCCCAGGCTTTTCCCCAACCCCCCCCGGATCGGAGATGGTCACTTCAGTCGCAGAAAGGGAGGCCGAAGACCCAAGACTGACCCTGGATCTATCCAGAGGATGGTCCTGACGGGTGTCGAACCAACCCAGTCGCTGTCGGAATATGTCTGATATTTAGTTGGGTTTCCCAGGAGAACAACTTAATATCAAACATATCAGACAGAGGCTGGGCAGCGGAAAGTCGGGCACGCAAAGCCGTGGGGCCTCTTCCAGGCCAGGACGGAACTGCAAAAGACAGAGAAAAGAAAGATCACGGCAATTTGGGGTAGCGCCTCTTGCCTATGCAACCGCTGTACGTTGGAGGAATCGTTGCTTGGGCGAATTAAATTCCCCTGATCTAGAACCGCTGGAGCGTTACTGGATGGAACCACGCTCCTTTCATTCTGCCAGATTTGCACCTATTGGCTGAAACCCCACCACACACTTAACCCAAGGACTTAGATAACCTGTTTTCTTCTAGAAACTCAAATGACTTGAACAGGTTGGTTTTACGCAATATATTAAAACATCTCTCTGTCCCCCAGAGGGGGGAAAAACCCTAACCAAGATTAAAGCTAACCCAGATAGCCCCAGATGCTCCGTCTTTCACTCACCTGGCTCGCCTTGTTCTGGTGAGCCATTAAAAAGCCATGTCTTTCTTTCACTTGGGGCTTGCAAAGAGCTACCGGCAGCAAAGAATTGCGTCCCTTTGAAGTGAAACTATAATTAAAATATACATACTTTTGCTTTTTTTTTTTTTTTAAAGAAATTGTCTTCTCCCCTTTTATTTTTTCTCTTCCTCTGCTTCTTTTAAGGAGATCAGGACATTTTAAATAATAGGTAATGGTCTAGATGGATAATTTGACTAGCATTCAACAGCTGAAGACCAGGAATTAAGAATTTGATCTGCTAGCACCCTAACAATGAGACTGAAGGAAAATCCAAGGGAAGAGAGATTGAAAAGGAAGGAAGGAAGGAAGGAAGGAAGGAAGGAAGGAAGGAAGGAAGGAAGGAAG